CTTTTTTTCCATACAAAGGGAAGGAATTGCAGGAAGTGAACTATATTAAGTTCCAACATAATTTAAAAAATGAAATATGTTATCTATATTTTTAAAAACTTAAAATTTGCAAAGAGATGGAAATGTCATTAAAAAAAATATGTGCTTCCTGAAATTTCACTGTCTAGTCTGATAATCCGAAAAAATAAAAACGTCTTTGAAATAAAAATACATGGAGAAATATACAACATTTATAAGTTTAGATTGATCGAACTCTCGAGCATCAAAAGTTTTTTGCTGCTAGGAATTTTGTAGTCGGTCGCTTTGAACTATTTTTTTTGGTGCAATTACTTTCCAAACTCGTAAGAGTTCTGTTCAAGAAGCATCCTTCAGATTGTTTTTTCTTCTTCTGTGCCTCAATGATGGCAACCAGATTATGCTTCTTCTGCGCCGCAATGAGAGGGAAAATTCCTGAGAGGGATAGTTCCTGAAAAGGATTCATTCTGAATAGAGTAGTTCCTGAAAAGGATAATTCCTGAAAAGGATAACTCCTGAACAGGATGAACCCTAAAAAGAACAATAATCACCATGAAGAAAAAAAAGATGTATTTGACGCAAAAAACTCTTTTCAAAAAGTATATGACGAAAAAACTCTCGTCTATAATCAATGCTAGTCTCATTAAAAAAAAACATAAAAAAGTAAGCAAAATAAGTGAAAATCAGTGAAAATAGGTAAAAATCACTTCTATGATAAGTTCATATAACTACTAATATCTTCATTAAGTGCCTAAAGTAAAAAGATCTTCACTTTGAGGTCTTAGTGGAGCGCAGCGCCAAAGGTGCCAATCAACAGGGACTCCGTCCAAAGGCTGCAGTCCAAGATCTTCAAAGACGGACCGGCTCCCTTTGACCGCCCGACTGTCATTGCTGTTGCGGAAGATCTCTCGGTGTCGAAGGGCAACCTGCGCCGAGTCTCCCCTGAAGAGCCAGAGCATGCCTACTTGTTCGCCCTGAAGGATGCAATCACCAATGGTGAATCGGAAGATGTGCTGTTGCAACTTGTTCGATTTAAGTAAAGTAGTCCAGCTTTGAACCAGCTTGCTGGTTGATGATTGGACCAGCTTGCTGGTTGATGATTGGACCAGCTTGCTGGTTGATGATTGACCCAGCCAGCTTGCTGGTTGATGATTGAACCAGCTTAGTTGATGATTGGACCAGCTTGCTGGTTGATGATTGGACCAGCTTGCTGGTTGATGATTGGACCAGCTTGCTGGTTGATGATTGACCCAGCCAGCTTGCTGGTTGATGATTGAACCAGCTTGCTAGTTGATGATTGGACCAGCTTGCTGGTTGATGATTGAACCAGCTTGCTAGTTGATGATTGGACCAGCTTGCTGGTTGATGATTGAACCAGCTTGCTAGTTGATTGGACCGGCTTGCTGGTTGATGATTGGACCAGCTTGCTGGTTGAAACTGTTTGGTTGTTTCAGCTTGCTGGTTGATGATGGTACTATCAGTTTGCATTTAGAACATGGTTCCGTGCCCAGGCAGTTTTTTGCCATTGATTTTGAGCATTTTTTCTGAGGCAGTACAAGCGGGTGGCACTGTGCACATCCATGATCTTCGAGATGTTGCCTACGTTGAAGAAGGTTTTTTCCGTGGCGTTTCTTGCCTTCAAACTTAAAAAATAGTAACTGATATCATCAAATGTCCACTCTATGTACACAATGAGCTTTGGTTTTTATCCAGGTCAACTTGCGAAACAATATCATCGATGAGTTGAGGTGTGGGACTCCGCCGGCAGATCCGTGTTGCTCACGGCAGTCCTGTATGCATCTGCGGACGACATCTATGGGTGGTGCATGCTTGGCCTTTTCCAGACAGACTTGAAGGTCTGGAAACACAACCCTCTTTAGCAACGACCAGTGGTAAGACCACTGCTGGTCAGGAATGGACTGACTACCAGTGCCTGGAATCAAATGGTGAAAATGATTGTCACCGATTGAAATTTTGAAATGATAACCTGAATTGGCTAGCTTGCTGGTCCTGAAATGGCCAGCTTGCTGGTGTTGAAATGGCCAGCTTGCTGGTCCTTCAAATTTGTTCTTCCAATGGCGAAGCACCGCGACTGATAAAGTGTTTGTTTGCATGGCCAGATTGCTGGCTGATCATAAATGTGCGCTGCCAGCTGGCTTGACTGAAACTTACACTTGACTGCCGCAAAATTTCCCAGGCCAAATGTCGTCCATTGTCAAGAGCCTCATTTGTATCCATGGGAATGATGCGACCACCGCCCCCTTCTGTGACTGCGAAAACCATCCAAGCCAGCAAAATGGGACAATGGACGCGAGCCAAGGAGAAGCCAGCGCCATGCCCGATGATGGTTCAAAAACGCCTCTTGCACAGGATGCCGCTGGAGCTTCTCAAGGCGAAGTACAACTATTTGAGGAACAACTCCGCGGCTTGGATGTTATTGCTGTTCACTGACTGAGGTTTGATTTTGTTTGACCGACGTTTTTCAAACTATTTTCGCTTCTTTTCAGCCTCAACTCAGAAGTGGCTCTCAAGCATAGACTTGGAAGAGGCCATGCGGAAGATCATTCGCCGATGGTCGGGGCTCCCTTCGAGCTCCGATTGAAATTGACGCAAATCAAATTGAGCCCAAGAAGCAGTGTACTGACACTCACTGTGGGCATCACCCGTCGCCATGCATGTAAAGAAAGGGCCTTTGGCAAGTGAGCTGGCCAGTCAATGTTTTGTAATAAATTAAATGTAAAATATAGACAACAAACTGGCCAAAAGACCCTTACGGTGTTTGGCCAGTTTGTTGTTTCATATTTTGTTTCATATTATGTCTTACTCTTGCCAACTAGCTGGCCTCTTAGCCGTTTTGGGGTTGTTTCAGTTGCCAGCAAGCTGGCATGTGGCCAGCTAGCTGGCCGCTTTTTGCAATCTTCCTCATTCTGAACAGATGCGTCAGTGCCACCTTAGCACACTGATCTTGGCTGTTCGAATTTCCATGAATTTTGATCCTGGCCAAAATATCATTAAAGATTCCAAAAAAAACAGCATGGATGTTTCCAAGAATGGTTGTTTCTTTAGCATGGATGCTTCACTGGCATCTGACTTGGGCAATTTTCAGTGAAGGTGATGCTTCTTCAGCATGGGAAAATGCATGTTATGCTTCTGCAGCATGGGGCAATGCATGTGATGATGCTTCTTCAGCATGGGAAAATGCATGTTATGCTTCTGCAGCATGGGGCAATGCATGTGATGATGCTTCTTCAGCATGGGGCAATGCAACATGATCCATTAATTTTAAGGGCAATAATGTGATACAATTGATCTATTAATATTATTAATTAGCCCATATTTAAATACATTTGGTCTAGACCTTATTTAACTGAGGCAACTGGCCTTTCATTTTTTATTTTGATCATGTCATAATTGTAATAGTACAATTCCATTCTCCAACCAACTCATCATCACAAATGGATATTTTTAACCGGAGACACTGGTGTAAACATTGAACCACATCATCAAGCACTTGGAACTTGCCATGGGGCATAGTTTTTGTATTCCCTTATTCCCGCTTAACCGCCAGCAAGACTATAGTATTTTTCGCCATAAAGCATAGAATTCACCAAGTTATGTGCGTCAATTTTGCTATCTTAAACGGGTACCTCACCTTGTAGTAGGCATTTGCACAACCAGATCATCAGAGAAATGGAGGGTAAACAAGAGGTACTTTGCCACAAAATCGGATGATGTATATTATACAATGTGGTGCCCCCGTTCGATAGCTAAGTTGGTTTATAACTCTAATAACTAGGACTTATGGTAGATATATCGAACTAGTTAATGGGATTATAAACCAACTTATAACTGGGGGGGGCACCACCTTGTATTATACAAAATATTACAGAATATATTCGACAGACGTTTTGTTGTGTGAATGATACATCGTAATCCACGTTTTCACAATTTGCGTAGGCTTACCTTTGGATAATATTATATAACATCCATAATTTTCCTAGCTGTGGATGCAAGGCTTGTCAGTGAGTGCGAAACTTTTTGGTAACGGGGGTCCGACCACATGTGTTTTCGTTGCTTCAGAAAACTGTACCTCAGGTACAAGGTGGTGCCCCCCCAGTTATAAGTTGGTTTATAATCCCATTAACTATAGATATATCTACCATAAGTCCTAGTTATTAGAGTTATAAACCAACTTAGCTATCTTGGGGGCACCACATTGTATGAATCAGTTCGCTTTGTACAACATTCCAGTGGTTTTGTTCAGCTGTCAAATAAAAAGAGAGACACGCCAAAAAATATTTCCCATGAAATCGGATAATTCAACGTTCAAGCAGGGCAAGAAACAATATATATATATATATATATTGTAATACATTATTATATATATTATTATTATTCATTATATATATTATCATATATATACATATGTATTTATATATGTATAAATATATATACTGTATATATATATATGTAATTCTTTATGTATATTCTTTAAATTGTGTGTTAATTTTCGTTTCAGGAATATTCCCAATCAAACCCGTTCCCCAGCGTACAAGATCCTTCACTTGGTTTCAATATGGTTTGTGTATGCCCTTGACCCAATCCATTGATCATCAAACTCATCAAACATCCCTCTGGTAGCCTCTGGTAATTTAACAGTTTGCTATTGAAAATGACCATACCCTCTGGTAAACATACAAAAAACTATTTAAAATGGTGATTTTCCATAGTTATAGTGGATTTACCCATTAAACATGGTGATTTTCCATAGAAATAGTGGGTTTACACATTGAAAATGGTGATTTTCCATAGTTATGTGTCAGTTTACCAGAGGGTAGCTCCATGATTCTTCCTTGTAAAAATCTACCTTTTTTTTGTCCTGGTTCACTCATGTTGGCCGCTAGATTCACCCCGCTAAGTCCTATGTTCCCATTTTCAATGGAGCAAAATCCTCCGTTTTCCACGCGAAAGAACGTCGTTTCCAGGTAGCGGCATGAGTTTCAAGCCTGATGGGCCCTCCAATTTCAACCCCCTTGGACAGAGTCTTGGGCTATTGAAGTGACACGCTAGAGGTACTGCTGGTAGGAAAGTGTAGATGATTCCTGAACGATCAATCATTCTGTTGTATTTTGTGAAATCGCAGGGAAACTATACGTACATATGATGTTCGACCATCTCAAGCAAATATGAGTGTTATGACTTGAAGGTTCAGAATGTTATCCAAAGAAAATGCGGAAATTAATGCATAGATAGAGCTACAAGGCATGCTGAGATAAACAACAAAATGGGAGATGAATCGAAGGTTGCGAATGACCTCAGCAGTGGCTGTTGAGCCATTGAGCGATACACACTATCATATATACCATCTGGCTATTTAACAGTTTGCCATGTATAGATGGCCCATAAAAATAGAAGTTTACCGAACTTAAAAATGGTGATTTTCCATGGCAAACTGTTAAATAACCAGATGGTATATATATATATATATATATCTGCTTAAATTATCATAACGGCCTCTCTGCCACCTCATCGGAATCAGATTGTTTTTTTTTCGGGGAAAATGCCCCAAAATCAACTTATCCTTATTTCAGATGAGTGACATATTACAATTCAGTCAAATATTAATTAATATAATTGTATTATGTGCGAGGTTGAAGAGGGCCCCTTCCGAAAGTAAGTAGACTGCCAACAAACAGTTGTGTATAATAGGGATATTTGGCCTGGAAGTTGGTGGCATGATGGCAACACCACTTTTGACGGAAAATCACCATTGTCTGATAGAAAAAACACTACTGTATTTTAGTGGCAATCATTTATATATATATATACATATACATATATATAAATCTGGTTCAATTACAACGACCTCACTGTGACCTCTCTGGAATAATGGTTTATAAGGGGAATCATCCCCAAATGGCCTTAATTCAGGTACAAGGTTGCCTCTTGGGATTCGGCAGGGAGTGGATCTGCGAACGTGAACGTGGAAGAAGGCCTTAACGCAGGTTAGTGAAATATTATAATTTACCCAGACCGATGCAAATGCATCAGGTTTCAAATGCTGTGCAAACGCAGCAACGGCTGGTGCAAACGGAGCATTGGTTTTTCAGATCAATTTCTCAGCATGTTCTCACCGTGATATATGCTACACTCTCGTGATTTGAATGCCACGATGAGGTGGATCCAATTTTTAAAAAGTGAATGTCTCGTTGCCTTCTTTATTTTTAAAAAAGGCTAGTCACGACTCGTCGCATAGTCACGTGACCGCAGTGTCAACGTGATCCAATGTTTTTCTGGAGTAGCTCCTTGGTAGCCGCCTCAATTTGCCGCGGTAGTCCGATTCTCTATGAAATTCCAGTCCCTCCCGAGGGGTGATATAAGATGATATACTGTAACTACCTTATGAAAACCGTCTGGGGTCATCAAAGGTAGCAATGGAAGATCCACCATACATTATATATTTTAATGAGAAAATCATGTATGAATCTGACGACGCTGTGAAATCAGAGATCACAGCCCATGCTTGCCATGAACGACTTGACTATAGCACCCCTCCTTAAGAAGCACAATTATCATAATCATCACATCAGTATGATGTTGCTCTTCTATGTTTCTTTGGGTGTAGCTCTCCCACAACTGAGGACAGGTGGCGTTGGCGTGGGTGACTTTGGTGAAAAAATCAGTGGACGGATGGGGTGCGGCTGCTGAAGCTTCTGAATGGCATGGTCATGCCATGGTTCATGGCTCCCTGTGCTTGTGCAGCCTTGATACCTCCTTTGGTCTACAGTTTTGGAATGTTTCGAAGATTCTTGAACCATGTTTTGATATTGTTGGTTGTTTCATTTGATTTTCCTTACCTTGAGGAGCCGTCCATACACAGAAGAAACAAAACAACATGGTGATGCATTCTTCTTTGTAGCGAGTACGACTGCCGTCAATTGACATGGATGTTCCATCAATCCTTTGACTTTGCAATGATTGATACACATGTGTATAGCGGAGTTCTTTAGACAATGTTTTCATATACAGTATCACGTGTGTATATATATATATACAATACTTAGACCGTACAGGTACCCTTAAAAAGCGATGTCCCAAATAATATAAATATACTGCAGTATGCTACTCCATGTTTGATGGTACGGTCCAGGCATGGATTTTTGATGTCATCTTGGGTTGCATGTTGATCCAAATGAGCTATTGAAAATAGGGAATTATGATGAGTTTATAAAATATGTGTTTCCCACACAAAACCTGGAATGATCCAAACTCGAGTCACCGGGCTTTTAGGTGAGTTTGGTGAAAAAAGCAACGTGTCGGGAGAAGCCTCTACAAGTCAGAAACAGGTTCCTGTTTGGCATGAATATTTGAGATTATGGTTCATGTTCAAGGCATAAACTCCAAACTATAAACCATCGCAATTCACTTAAGAGAAATGAATAGCATTGAACATCATTGAGGATGATTGAAGATCATTGAAACCAT